TTGGGTGGGCCGCCCACCGTGGGCGGCCCGACTGCCTCGTTGGCGGCCACCCTGGTCGAGACGCTGCAGACCTGCGGCGTGTGAGGGCAGGTGGAGGTCGAGTACCTCGACAAGGTCGGGCCGCCCCTGGGCAGCGCGGCCACCGTGGATCACAATCAGCTGGAGTTGGACGCACAGGCTAGCAAGATCGGGCGGCCGCACGACGAGTCCAGGGCCAAATTGTTGCTCGCGGCTCTTCAACGGGCCGCCCCGCGGGACCATTGCCCTGCCTTGTAGTTGGAAGGCATTGCGGTGACGCCCGCGGGCTGGCTGGAGGACGAGGCCGCGACGTGGTTGGACGTCCCGCAGCACAGCCGAACCGCCCCGTGGACTTCGTCCGGGCGAGACCGTAGGAGGCATGGCGCAGCACCTTCCCCCCCCCTCCTCTGTCCTCGTGCCGACGTCAGACCAGGGCTAATTTGGGCCTGCCCCTCTACACGAGGAATATCAAAGAATAGTCAAAACCCACTCTGGGGACGATGTTAACAACAAGGCGACAGCGTCGCCGTGCACTGGCCCTTGCTGCAAAGAGTACCTGGAAACCAGGGTAGACAGCAGAGGATGTGTAGAGGAGAGAAGGGAAGGGGGGGGTCGCGAGGGAGGAGGAAGAAGAATGGGAGCATCATCGCATTCTTTGCTATTTTGGAGCATGTGTTGGGTACGTTTCATTTTTCGATCAGAGTCCGCCTGTAGGGGGACATGCCCGACCTGAGACCAGGGTTCCGCACTGCTGGACGAAAGCCCGAATTTGATCGCGACCGTCGGGGCCGCCGCTGGCCCCCCCCCCTCGTCTCGCTCGTCCAACTGCAAGCCTGACCGCAAGACATGGCCCAGGGACGGCGCCGCTGTAGAGGAGGCCGCTCATTTTCTCCTCGGCTGACGGGGCGCATCGTAATCTGAAGTCGGGCCTGTCCCTCTACAGGAGGGATATTCAAAAATAGTCAAAACATGGTATTGGGACTATATTTTAGTATTGTTTGACCATTGGTTTTTTTTTTTGACAAATATTGTTCAAAAAATTCGCCCAAAATACCCCTGTAGAGGGACAGCCCCGAGCTAAGCGCAATCTCCTCCTCCCGCGTATTAGACTCAGTGGGCGAACAGTTCGGGGTCGATGACTGCGCTCGTGCGAGGCCCGATGGCACGATCTCGAGGAGTGCCTAGCCCTTCGCTGCCTGCCACTGCCAGCCTCTCGTGTTCGACGCGCGGGGGCGCGCGCCCGGCCCGCGCGACGGAACCGCAGTTTGGGACCCTCGCAGTCTTGCGACAGCCGGCCGCCGTGCCACTCCTTGTGCCGCATCCGTTTCCAGTGTCTTTGGGCCCCCTCGTCGAAGAAAAGATGGGGGGGTCCTCCTCCTCGTCGTCCTCCCCCTTGCGGAGCGCTCTGCCCTGACCTCGTGCGCTTGTGTTTCGAGCGACGCTTTGTCAGAGGTTCCCCCGAGCGCCCTTTGAAGGTTTCGCTGCTCGCGGGGGCGAGGATCATCAGACCCACAGCGCAAAGCCGAGTCTTATCCTCCTCTTCCTCCTCCTCCTCCTTCTCCTCCTCCTCCTCCTCCTCCTCCTCCTCCTCCTCCTCCTCCTCCTCCTCCCCCTCCCGCACAGGATGACAGATGCCCAGATCTCCGACGATATAATTGTTCCAGTCCAGGATGACCTATGCCCTGACAATCTCCGATCAGATGCATGTTTCCAGTCTGGGCGTTGTTCCTGGATTTTGGCCACCAGGGACTTTTATCAGGCGGGGACTAAGAGTGGATCCGGGGCCCTCTTGGACCGTCTGGGCGGCCTCTTGGGGCCCTGTTGGCCCGTCTTTGGGCCCTCTTGGGCCCGGAAAAAAACACGCCACAAACCATGGAGAGCCCGAGAAGGAATCTTCAGAACTGAGGACTGAGGTTCCAGGGAATCGAAGAAAGGACCTGAGGATACTCCCGCTCGCGCCTCAAGGGCACGGTTTCGGATCAGGCCGGGGGACCAAACGTGAATCTGGTTCGCCAGAGCCTACCAGGGAAGAGGTCGGGATTTGATTGGGGCCCAGTCAACCTGGCGGACGCCCGGGAACCCAGCGCGTGCCCAAAGCAGGTGTCGGTTTCGGCGCCGGCGGCACTGGGACAGGCGAGGGTGCAGAGCCCACGGCCGATCGCGCTTAGCACTTCCAGGTGCTGCCCGCGCTTGGTCAGGACCGCTTGCGCCGCTGACCTACGAACGGTGCGGGACAAGAGGGTACCCAGCTACCCCCCCGACCCCTTGGGGCCCGTTGTCTTATCCCCTAAGGGCCGTTGCCTGGGGGCGAGGGGGCTGGTCGCGTCACGATCCGCGCCCTCGCCGTCCAGACATCACCTGCCCTTCTACATTCCCGAGCGGCACTGGTACGAACGGTGACGTTACCACGCCGGGGGGAGGAGGGGCGGAACATTTTTGGGAACGGCCGTCATCGCGAACCTTACACCACGCTCTCTTGCGCATCCGCCGGCGTGACTTACGTTTCCTTCGCGGCCCCAAAGGTGCCCGAGCTTTCCTTGGCCCGTGCATCACAGCGTCGGGGCCCGATATAGCCAGTCGGCGTCGAAAAATAACGCTGGGAAAAGTCACACTGTCGGAGATTCGATCTACAGGACATTCCACGTGTTTTCCGTTGATTCGACGGGAAGTCAAGTGTGGGGTACATCAATTCTGCAGTCGGCTCTTTACTCGAGATCTGGAAATGCTGTCTTCGGGCCATACATCAAGAGTCTGGCGGCCGTTCTGGACGGTCCGGGCATTTCGGAACGCTCTCCGCGCGGCGCAGCCGCTGGAAAACACCTCGAGGCCAGGTAATCGCCGATGACTGACGAAAGCGCGTCAGAGGGTCGACCTTGTAGAAGTTGATCGCCGGAGGTCTTGGGACCACGCCTCCCGCTCCCTTGCTCCCCCTACCTTTTTACGGGGCAGCGTCAGGCTTGGCATCGCTCGGACATGAACATGTTTTCTCGGCAAGGACCATCGAGGAGCATCCTGGGTCCCATGGGCCATCGACGAGAGCACGGAGAATGAACGTCCGAGCGATGGCAAGTAATCAGTGGTTACGTTCGGTGTGGGCAAGCAAGCTCCAGGGGGAGCACCGACCATAGAATCGGCGAGACGTCGCCAGTAGACAGGGAATATTCAAAAGTAGTCAAAAAAAAAGTTCGGGGACGATCTGTTCATCAGTTTTGATTATTTGGGGGCATTTTTGGGGCATCTTAAACTTTTCGCCCAAAACCCGCCTCTATAGGGTCACACGCCCGCCCTACACCTACCAGTGATTGATTCACGGGCGAGCGTTAAGCCAGCTCTCTAAGACAACAAGCAGGTCCGGCTGCACAGACAGCGCTCGAATTCGATGCATGAGCCGAAGCTTGTCGACTCGATCGAACGCCCCCGAGACATCAGAGCAGTAAATCACTACACGACGACCGCTGGCGAAAGCGGGGGCCGACGCACGGCCCCCCGCTGGCTTCGGGCCATATCCTCCGGACCTCCGACGGCCGTGCCTGAGCGATCCGGGCACCCCCGCAGAGCGCGCTCGGCGAGGCGCAGCTGCTGGAGCGCAGCCAGAGGCCGGAAGGCCGCCGCGATGGGCCTGGCTTCCACCACCAGCACCAGCAGTTGGGGGGGGGGGAGGGGGTCCTCCTCCTCCTCCCTCCTCCTCCTCCTCCTCCTCCTCCTCCTCCTCCTCCCCTCCTCCTCCTCCTCCTCCCCCCCTCCCTACTCCTCCTCCCCCTCCCCCTCCTCCCTCTCCTCCTCCTCCTCTCCTCCTCCTCCTCCTCCTCCTCCTCCTCCTCCTCCTCTCTCCTCCTCCTCCTCCTCCTCCTCGCCCTCCTCCTCCTCCTCCTTCTTCTTCTCCTCTTCGTCGTCCTCCCTACTCCTCCTCCTCCTCCTCCTCCTCCTCCTCCTCCTCCTCCTCCTCCTGCTCTCCTCCTCCTCCTCCTCCTCCTCCTCCTCTTCGCCCTCTCCTCCTCCTCCTTCTTCTTCTCCTCTTCGTCGTCCTCCTCCTACTCCTCCTCCTCCTCCTCCTCCTCCTCCTCCTCCTCCTCCTCCCCCTTCCCCCGTCCAACTTATGGTGGTGGTGGTGGAAAACAGGCCCATCACGCCGAGCACCGACAGACGCGCCCGACATCCCCCGGCCCCTGACGAGGGGCGCCCTCGAGGGCGCGAAGCTGCTCGCGCTTCCCGGTGCGGCCCCGAGCCCTTTGCTGCCAGAAAGGTGTTCGCGCTTCGCGCCGCGCGGAGCGCGAATCGGCGCCCTTGCTGACGCTGCCCCACCCCCATGGCCGGCCAGGATCGGGCCGAACGAAAGGGGGGGATAGGGAAAGGGGCGGGTACGAAATCTGCTGCACGCAGCTGGTGTCGGCCCCGCCGCCGGGCCCAGTCCTCGATGCGTGGGCGCCTGCCGGCGCCGGGAGTCGCTGGGGGAGTCGGCTGCGTGAGCTGACTCTCTCTGCCCTGCCCTTGGCTGCCCCCCCCTTGTTCGTCCCCCCCGAGAGATCTCGGCATGCTGGGAGCTCTCTGGTGTCTTCGGCCTCGTCGGGCCGTCGAGGCATGTGCTTCATCGCCAGCGTTGAGCTGACGTCGGGCTCAGACCCAGACGTGCGACGTCCTGATTGTTTCAGGACGGCGTCCCTGGAAGTCCAGACCCTTTCCCCGGGGCCGGTTTTTCATCCTGAGTCGTTTCTTGACGGTCCCGAGGCCTGGTAAGGCCCCCAGGGGCCGAATATATATATATATATATATATATATATATATATATAGAGAGAGAGAGAGAGAGATGTGTGTGTGTAACAATGCCGTCCTGATATATATATATATATATATATATATATAGGTGTGTGTGTGTGTGTAAAAATATAAATGCCGTCCTGATTTGTTGTTTACGACGCGATCCTGCCTGGGGAGAGCACCCTCTGCACGGCGGCTTTTCTGTTCCCCTCCGGCCCCCCCGGCAGGAGTACCCGAGCTACCGGTGGTGCAGGAAGTGGGCGCGCCGGGCGGGCTGAGCGGCCCGCGGCCTCCTGCCCTCCTCGCGGGCGGCCCCCACCGGCAAGTCGGGCCCGTCCCTCCACAGGGGGGAGATTCCAGAGTAGCCCAAAAATAGTCAGGGGACGATGTTTTGCTTATTGTTTGACCGTTTGGGTGTAATTTTGGAGTTTTTTGTTTTTTGCCCAAAATTCGGTTATAGCCAGGACCCCGGATAAGGGGACCCGATTAGTGGTAGGGCCTTGGGGCCCCTCAATTGGCCAGATTCACGGAACTAGGTTTGCCGTAACTGGTGCTTTTCGGGTGAGGGCAGTTCCGGTTAGTGGGAATGGGACGGGGGGGCGCCCCCGGTACAAATCACTAAACCAGGTTCCCATAAACCCAGTTTTGCCAACCCCCAAAACTGCCCAAAACATCCCCCGGAGGGGGACAGGCCCGACCTAACCCCACTGGCGCGCGGGCGGCGGAGGGAGGCCCTCGAGGCCTTCGCGCGCTGCGCGCGAGCAGGGCCGCCTGGCTCGCGCGCAGCGCCTGGCCCCCGAGCTGCCACGGCAACGGCTCAAGCCCCGAGATTCTCTCACGATTTGTTCAAAATCGCGGTCCAACGGAGGGCTTCCTCACTATACATATATAGATATATACAATATACATATACAAATGTATCCATGATGTGTATTTATATGTGTATATATATATACATGCATGCATGCATGCATGCATGCATGTATGTATGTATGTATGTATGTATGTATGTATGTATGTATGGATGTATGTATGTATGTATGTATGTATGTATGTATGTATGTATGTATATATACACACATATATATATATATACATATATATATATACATATATATGTATGTGCAGGTGCAGAATTCGTGCTCTCGCGTGGGATTGCCTCGCAACTTCTCTCGAAGATCGCGCTCACGCACTGAGCTTCCTCGGTGTACGCAGGAATCGCGAGATTCAGACCTCTCGGACCAGCCCTGAACCCCTCGAGACAGGTCGGCGGCGAGGGATGGGGGGGAGAGGAGGTGAGAAGGAGGAGGCCTTCTCGGAAGTCAGCAGGACTTCTCTGGAGCGCTCTGGGCATCTGAGAAGTTGACTGCGTCTTCGGGGAAGGCCTAGAAAATTTGTCAGACGTCCGGGGGACTTCCGAGCCTTCTGAGAAGGCCTTCTCTTCTCACGCCCCCCCGAGCTCGCCGCCGAACATGAAAAAGCACGACGGGAGGTTTTCTGTTTTGTTCGGCATCTGCGGGCCCTCACTGGGCGACGAGACCGTCCAAAACAGAGTCGGAATGATCAACCGGTCCCGGAGAACGGATCGAGTTCTGTGTTGGTCGACGCTAGGAGAGGATCATGTCGTCGGGGGCCTTGGCGGGAGATCGCTGGATATTCGGAGGGAAAAGCAGCATGAACTGAGGCAGTGGCGAGGCGTCCAGGTTTGCCTTCAGGCCCACTAGCAGGGGTTCTGAGAACCACTTGTGGTTTGCACGACGTGTTATCAGGACAGTTATTGTTGAGATCGTGTTGTTTGAATGCATCGGCTTATGTATCGTGTTTGTGTTTAGGACATTCTTTCGTTCTGGGAGCACGTCGTGGTAGACCTGTGGGAATGCCGGGACGGTCGGTGCCTGCTAAACACGTTAGCCAGCGTGGACCCCTAAACAGTGTGTCTCGAGCCATGCATGTGGTGCAAACTATGGGATCCGACCTAGGTTGTGCAACCAGCGTTGTGCAATCTATGTGGTGCAATCTACGTGGTGTAGCATATGTTGTTTACTCCATGTGATGTAACGAGTGTTGTGCTGTCTGCATGGTGCAATTTATGTGGTGCATTTGATTTTGTACGGAACAAGTCGGGCAACCATCCCACCACACGCCCGCAATTAAGTTTGCAAAACCCACGCAGCGGCGATTGCGATGAGTGCTTGGTGTTGGCTGGTGCATATTTGCGGCCGCGATAGCCCGCGCACGCTGGCGCGCGGAGCTGCCAGCTAGTTCGGCGCGACCGATTCGGCCGGGTTGGCGTTGCCCGCTGGACACTTCTCAGCGGGCACTTCAGCCCGTGTCTGCGGCCTGGGCGGGCGCGGTATCATGGCAACGTTGGCGACGGCAGACACGAGGATGATGGTAGCGATGCTGGCGGCCATGTTGACATCGACGACGTCACAGCCAGTGACGGCGCCGATGCGGATCAGCCGACGACGATGACGGCGTCTTCGTGTCGGTGATGAAGGTTTTGGAAAGAGTTCGACATGCGCGCGGCGGCCAACGCGCGAGGGTGGCCCGTATGACCTGATTTGAGACGGATCGCGCCCACGCAGCACGCGCACAACGGCGTCCGAATGATTTCGACATGCAGCGCGAAAGGCCCGCCTTACCACATTGAATGAACATGTTGCAAACCAAGAAAATGTTGTTCGTTGGAATTCTCAGGAGGGCGCGCGCAGGCTTGTTGAACACTGGCGGTGCAAAACCATGTCGTTGTTTTGGCGATGGTTTCGGGGCGCTCGTTTTGGACATCCCTGCGGCACCTAAGGTGTTTGAAATATTCCGGCATGCGCGCGCGACGACGCGCGTGCGTGCACTTCGTCATGTGTTTTGTTAAAGGATGTTTGCAACAGCACGCGCACAGGGGCGCTTGAGCGATTACGACATGCGCGTTCGAGGTCCCCTTTTGGTAGCATGTTTGAACATGTTGGAACACAGTGGCTTTCTTGAAGAATCGCAAAAGCGCGGGCGCAGGCTTCTTTTTGAGAGCTCTTGTTGCGAAACTGATGTGTATCATTCGGCGCAGTGGAATTCGATATCCTTACGACACCTAACGACTTTCTGGTTCAAGGATTTCGGGGTGCGCGCGCGACGACGCGCGCGTGTGCACTTCGTTTTTGTTTGACCAGCGTTCGTGCAAACTGATGAGTTCTGATGAGCGGGTTCGCGCGCAATAGTATGTTTTGCAGAGGATCAGAGGGGGCGATGCCGGTTTAGCTGGGACGCTGCGAGTTGATAGCCAGGGTGATTGACTGTGCAGGGTAATTATGAAAACGCAATACGCGAAGGGGGCCGTTCAGTCTGGGGGGGAAAGGGGGGAGACTTGATTTTTTTAACGGGGGATCTATGTAGCGCACTTTACGTGGGGCGCTAAATGTGGTGCAACATACGCGTTTCAATACATCATAAGTACGCAAACTATATGGTGCAATCTAAGTTGTCCTATTTACGTGATGAAACATATGTTGTACACTCCTACGCGGAGCAAGACATGCAGTACAACCTATATTGTGCAAGATAAGCTGTGTGCGCGTTGTGGCACAATCGATGTTGCGCAGTACATATGGTGCAACGTACGCGGTGCAATCTATGCGGTGCAATGATTGTTACGCAACCGATGTGGTGCAATTGGTTTTTACAAACGAATTGACAAATTCCATGCCCTTGCAAACATCCCACCCACCCACCCGCAATTGGGTTTGCAAAACCCATGCGCCGGCGATTGCCGTGAGTGCGTGGCGTTGGCTGGTGAATTTTTGCGGCCGCGCTAGCCTGCGCACGTTCGCTCGCACAGCGGCCAGCTAATTTGGCGCGACCGGCGCGGCCGCGGTGGCGCTGAACGTTGGGCATTTCCCAGCGGGCACTTCAGTGCGGGTCGGTGACGTGGCCGGGCGCGGTATCATGGCGACGCCGACAACGGTAGACACGATTATGAGAGTAGCGATGGCGATGGTGTCGATGACGACGACAGCGCCAATGACGGCGACGATGATGATCACGCCCGCCGATAACGATGACGATGTTTTCGGCGAGGAAGGTTTTTGAATGAGTTCGACATGCGCGCGTGCCGACGCGCGAGTGGCCCGCGCGGTGTTATTTGACAAGGATCGTGCCCCCTTTCCCACTCCCCCTGCACGCGCGCAAGGGCGAGCGAATGAGTTCGAAATGCGGCGCGAGAGGCCCGCCTGGCAGAATCTGATCGAACATGTTGGAAAGTCGGTGGTTTTCTTAAGAAGCGGCAGAACCGCGAGCGCTAGATTTTTGACGGGAAATTGATTTTACTTGACCAGGTGTTTTGATTGTTGCTCAGACGTTCGGTTCTGAAGTCCTTCGGAACTCATGGTTTTGGATAGACTTCGGCATGCTACTCTTGCGACAGCACGCGCCCAAGGGCGTTCGAACGATTTCGGCACGCGCGCGCGAGAAGCCCGTTTGGCAGAATTCCATGAACATTTTGAAAACACGTATGGTTTTTCTCCAGAATTCGCAAGAGCGCGGGCGCAGGTTGGTTTACAAATCCGTTTGTGGTATAATGTTGTGATGTTGTAATGCTGTAATGTTTCCATGGCGTTCGATTCAGAAATATTTACGGAACCTGTTCTGGTTTCCGAAGGATTCTGGCACGCGCGCGACAACGCGCGCGTGCGCATGTCATCTAATCGTGTGTCAAATCATTCGTGGGAAATTGCTATGTTTATAAACGAGCGTGCGCGCATACCGCGTTTTTTCGCACTGGACGAGGGTGGGGATAGATACCTGCTTGCTTGGAGTGGTACGCACTCATATTTCGGATGGACGATGGGGCCGAACCATACGCAAACTACAATACGATAAGGTGGCCCGTTAACCTGAAGGGGGGGGCTCGATCCTAGCATCTTTTTAGCAAAAAAAAAACAGTCCGATGTTGGGCAACCATCTGGGGGGGGCAAGACGGCGACAGGGCGGCGACAGCGGCGACATAGCCGCCAGAGCAGCAGACAGGCCCAGACGACGGGCGGCGACGAAGCGGCGACGAGGCGGCCACGGCGGCCACATAGACACGGCCCAGAGGAGGGGCGGTGACGACGCGGCGATTGGGCGGTGACGGCGGCCACATAGCCGCCAGACCGAAGACACGGCCCAGTTCCTAAGAACAAAAGTGAGACTCCCTGAGCGCAGGCGTCGTTTAGGGGATGAGTTGTTGTAGGGCGACGGGATCTGTCCAGTAGCCGCTGCCCCATGCCTGGCCCGCAATGGGCCCAGG